GAAGATTTTCTTTAATTTGATGAAAATTTTCCTTAGTCACCTGTCATATTTTTCTTCCTCTGAATTTGTTTTTGTCATCAATATCATAATTGTTTCTTTGGACTAGCAAGGATTTCCTTCATCATCTGACTCTGTTGCCACCAGTGCAAGAAAGTCATATTTTATTGTTTCCTTCATCATCAATAGTGATTGATTTTCAGGTCTGCCTCCATCATACTCTTATCCAATGAATATTCCATAGCCACTAAAGCTTTTTTTAATAGATAAATCGTCCTTGTGATTATTCAGACTGTGATTTGTAGTAATGTACAGATCATTCCTAGTGTTTTTTCTGCATTGTTCTTCTTATACTCCCAAGACCACAAGGGGAAAACTTGATGAAGTGATTTAGACTCCAACACTTGTGACACACTTGTTCTTGGATGTCTATATAAGTCATCTTCTGAAAATTCTACTTTGATTCATATGACCCTTTTTCAGCATTCTTGACAAAGCCCAAAGTATACCCTAGGTGTAACTAGGTGTATTAGACCCTGAGAGGCCCTACACATTCCACTTAGCATACATCATACAAGATAATTGACATAAAGAATTCAGAAAGATAGCATTTTCAAATTTCAAAGAGCTTGACAAAGTGGAAGTCTAACATAAGTCTCAGTAAGCCATCCAATACATCATAAGTAAAGTGGCTAGGACATAACCCATACATCACATACAAAGTCTGAAAATGGAAATGACATACAACTATAAAATTATCGCAGTCCTCCGAACATGAGGACTCACCAATCTTTAAAGACAAGGAAACCCACTAGCCACGAGTATGCGAAGTAGGAGCATCGAACCCTACATTCGTGAAAAAATATAGGCACAAGTATGTGTTAGTATATGGAATGTACTAAGTATGGGCAATATCCGTAAAATAGGCATGATAGCATGAATGGCTTAAAACATGTAAGGCATGAGCAATATTTGAACATTAAAAGTTTTAAGAAGAACTGACATGTAAATCATTATATATGGTCAAGGGCATTAACATAAAGGACATAAGAAAAGCTTGGAAGAAACGTTGTCATTTTGTGAGATATTATCGTTAACCAATAATAAGACCATAAGAGCTATATCATGGAATCAGATATATCCATCATACTGAAAAAAGGGGAATCTACTTGCCAAGGTAGAATCCGTACATATCCTTTTTTTCTAAAGTGGATCCACTAGCTAGATCATTTAAGATAATCCTTAGGGGGCACCTAGTTAGGGACTATAGGTTACTACTAGAGACTACCCCGATTGAATCTCCACCTCAAAGCCCTTTAGGTGCCAAGTCTAAATTTCAACGGAATAGAAAAAAATCAAATATCAATATAACATAAGAAAGGCAATAATCAATACCAATCCACACTTTTAGATGAAAACATAAAATAGCTCCTTAAACACAATTTAACATGGATGAGAAAAGCTTTCATCAATGTGAATTCATATGTGAGAAATAACTTTCACAATAACATTGATACTTTCCTTCCAAAACATCCCAAAATAATTTTTCATAACTTCATAAAAACATGCATATCTTCATAAATTCATAGTTCATAGGTTCATAGTAGAAAATAATAAATTAGGCATGGGTTAATATAATTCAACTCAATATCATGTATTAACATCAAATCATGCATTAGAAGACTTAATTAACAATAATAAATCATAATTGAGTGAAACCCATAAATATGTAATTAAAATCCTAACTTGATCAATTGAAATTGAATTGGAAAATTGGAAAGCTTGGGGGGACCTCATGGAAGAATGGATTCCATGGATGAGTACCCACATACCTGTCTACTAAAAGCCCACAAAGAATGATGAATTAGACACTTGAATTTGAATCCTAGATTCTTCTTCTTCCTTAGGTTGAGAGGAATTTAGGGAGTGTATTTTGTTTGGTTTTGGGAAATTAAGAGAATGGGGTTGAAGTGGGTAGTTTTATGACCTTAAAGCTTTATATAGGGCTTAGGGTAGAAGATAAAACGACATAGTTTTGATTTAAAACAATGAGGGACTCAAAATCCCCTTAAAATAACTGTCGAAGCCTTTCTATGGTTTGGACCTATGGTCATGTAGAACTCCTACGGACTGTACTGGTCAACCGTAGAAAAGTTCAGAAACCTTAATTTTGGACCAACTTTTGAAGAACTCTGTCTACGGCCTATAGGTCTTCCTATAGTTCGTAGAAACCAACTTGACTCCTTAAAATTTCACCAAGTCTAGGACCTACCTATGAGACCTATCTAGGCTCGTACAAAGACTGACTGGTCGTCCTACTGAACCGTAAAAAGTACTGGAGTTATTTTTGAAAAGCTATTTTCCCTCTTCCTACGGTTGCCATCTACGGCCCATAAAAGCTTCTATGGTTCGTAGATGAGACCCGGAGACACAGATTGTAGACCAAATATTCCTTTTCCTCCTTTTCCAATTTTTGAGGTGTAACAATTCTTGAGAACCTTTAGGTCATTAAAGAAATACTATCATCCTCGAAGTCATCCTTTTCAATTGTCTTAAGGACTTTGTTATTTTCTTTCTTGATTCTTTTTCAGTTCTTAGGTCATGAGATTTCCAATGAGCTCATTCATCATCATAGTTACCAGGTCACATGATTTTGAAATTGTTACCTCTTTGCTTTTCTGTAATTCAGGAAGAACACATAAGTTTTATGACTATATTTGCAATAGGAATCACTTCTCCTAAGATTTCATTAATGATAGCCATGAACCTGGTGTGCATATCCTGAATTGTTTCACCTTCCATCTTTCTAAATAGCTTATACTACAATTTAGATTATTAATTTTGGATTTCTTGACCTAATTTTTTTCCTCATGAGCCATTTTAGTGTTTCCGATATAACCTTTTGATCTGGATATGCTAAAATTCTAATATACTCATCCAAACCTATTTCGTATATCAAGATCTTTTTTGCTTTTGCATTATTCTGAATTGCAAGTTTGGCAGCAGCATTATGTTCCTTTCTACCGTTTGGCACCTGAGTTGTTCCATCAGTTCCATTCTTCATAGGGATGGTAGGACCATCTAGAATAAATGCCCAGAGATCTATTTTTTCTCCTATTAAATGATCCATCATATTGTTCTTCCACCATCCATAATACTTTCCATTGAATAGTAGGGGTCTTATTTGTGGCTCTCCTTCCTGTGCAGTAGGTGGTGCAGTCATTGATCATTTTCAAGGTATGAAACTCTTTAAGTGAAAAGATCTACTCAAATACCAATTGAAGAAACCTTAACTAGAACAAGAACCATGTTCTTGTTGTATTAGCAAAGACAATAATGCAACAGAAACGAAACACAGATTTATCATGGAAAACCTCCTTTCTCAAAGCAAGAAAACACACGACCTATAACTTGTAGGATTTCAACAACCTCCACCAACTTCAAAGAGCAACTTTATATTACAACTCAATAATAAAAGGGACTAACTCTAGTACCTCAACTCTAACTATTAACTCTAAGAAGTATGAAATGGGCGGGTTGGGTTGGGTTGAAATTGGAGATATTAGAATGGGTTGAAATAGAAATAGGGTTGGATCTTGACCCGCTCAAGTTTACTTTCGGCTCAGATGGGCTTAAAACTGGGTTGCGTCTAGACTCGCTTAATCTCAATACTTTTAATATATTGTTATTTAAGTTTTATAACCACACTTTGAATTTTAACTTAAGAAAATTTAAAAAAAAAAGTTACAAATGGATAGATAAATCCTAAAAATATAAAATAGATAGTAATTCATACCTTCAATATAGGAACATTCATTACATCAATGCAAATAAAGAATCTTAAAATGGGTTGAAATTGGAGAATAAATTGGGCTCAATTGAAGATTCTCTTAAAATGGGTTAAGGTTTGAATGAGTTGAGATTGAACCCAGTTTAAATTATCTTGAGCACAACCCTTAAAATCATGGGCGGGTTCGGCGGGTTACCTATAGTTGGGCTCTTTTTGACACCCGTAACTATAATTGTTTTCTCTACTCTCCAAGAAATCAAACTCATTTCTTATTACAAAATCTCACACGTTCACTTTCACATTTAGTACAATTATCATTAAACAATGGTTTTAAGTTGAACTAACACAAACTTAGCTTTAGAAAGAAAACCTAACTCTCATTCTTCTTTCTTCTGGTTTTTTTCTCTTTTGCGTTGTCACTTGCTCTTGCTGAAAAACAACCTCGTCTTATGATAGCAAAATCTAGTTTTCTCATGTCTCAATTATCCTTTAATAGGAGTGTATGAAACCCTAGTTTAGTCCTACAAGGAAAGCAGTTTTCCACTCGTCACATTCTTTCCTTATTAGGTTTCTTCTTCCTTTAATAAGGTTTTCCTATTCACACGGTTTCTCTTTTCCTTCCTTCAAGTTGGTGAACTTGGCTCACTTTGTCATCATCAAACCTGTTCCGAATATTGTCATATCATCAGAGGCTTTAGCCAATAAAAAAGCTCCTCTTGAACCCTAAAGTACTAAAACCAATTATAGAGCTATTAAAAATGTGTACAGGCTCTTCCACTCACCTGGCCCTTTTTATATTTTATCTCGTTTGTCCTTTTATCCACATCACTAGGGTACAATTCCTTTCATTTCTCTACCGTGTTTATTCCCTCTCTCTCGAGGGTGTATTCCCTGAGGATCCGATTTTCCTTGTCCTATCAATCTACACATGTTGTTCTTCATGCCACATGTAACAGACAAGTTTTACCCATCACAATGTGCTCACAAAAAATGAAAATACAAACTAACAGGCTCTCAAATATAGTTATGTATTGATTTTCATCAGCAAAACTTTTTGGATGTTACCAAATTGTCATATTAAAATAATACTAGTCTGTCATCTGTAAGAACAAAAAACATTTGTGGGCTCTTATAAAATATGTTTTATAGAAAAGTAGAATTGCTTAATTACAAGGGGGACTATTTAAAGATTCATCCACTCCAAATGCAGGTGAGGAGACAGTAGTAATATCAATCTGAAAATGAATCTTCAGCACACATAAGTGTTGGTATTTGGTCATTATCAACAAAGTTAATCTTGTTCAATCTCACACATCCAAGCACTCTCTCCGGTAATTCCTCTGACTTTTGCGCCTGCATTATTTATCCATGAATTTAAGTTTCATGCACTGATTGATAAAATTTACATTATTGAATCATAATGTGACAAGTATTAAGTAATCTACACTAATAATGTTAAAAAAAAAAGTTGTACTGTTGATGCAATCAATAAATATATCATCTTGTCAAGCCTAAATCAAAGCTAACTTCCTCAATCCTTATATATTGAATTCTTGCTGATATATAACAAGTAAAATAAAGGGAAACCTGAATTGTTAGACCAAGATCCAGTATCCCGAATCCTAAACGCTCCCTAAAAGAATCTAGTCCCCTTCTTGCAATGTAGCTGAAGTGATGAATGTCAAGATCAACCTCGAAGTAATTTGGTCCCTGCAATAAACAGAAAAAAAGAAAGATAGACTTGATGCTCATGTTCGATAACATCAAAATAATGCTAAAGTTGAGATAAATAAAAGGATTTAAGTTATATGCACTAATATTGTAAAGTCTTTTTAGACTATCAATTCAATTTAACTTATTATACCATGTCAAGATCAACCTGATAGTGTAAATATCATTGATCACAACGTACAATAGTGCATAGAACTTAAAACTTTAAATCAAAACTCAAAAGGATAGAGTATCCACCTGATAAAAGCTGTGTTGAGGGCGCGAAAGCACTGGCTTCTCATTGTAAGCATTCAAAAGCTTACTTTCAGTAGCATTTGAAACAATCTCATCTGGATTAACCACTCCAACCATAATCTTCAACCTCTCTCTAAAAGGAACATATGATTCTCTTGCAAATCCTTTAACCTTTTCCATATCATCCTCAACTAATCTCTGTCGTACGAATATAGAAATGAAAATTTAATATCAGAGCAAATCATGTTGAAAGTTCTCCAATCCCCTACTACCACTTTCATGGAAAGAGGCGGATGAAGAATTATAATCACTAGGTTAAACCGAATCAGCATTTCTACAAGAAATGTAGATGTGTAAGAGCAAAATCACTGATATTTCAACAAAAATGTTAAATGTTGAACCCCATAATGTACTAAGAGCCTAAAGGTTGATGCATCAAATTTGAATTCTCGATTCACCTCTTGTTCATAAAAAAATATATATCATGTAATACGAACGACTTAAGAGATCTAATAAAATGTAAGACAAGCTTGTTTCTAATTAGTTTAAGCAAGAATTAGACATTTTCCCCATTTCTTCCCAATAATGACATTGAGAAATACCATATTTCTAGAAAAAAAAAGAGAAACCATGGAAGCAAAAGACTCTAACCAACGTTGTACTACCTACTCGCAGGTGAAAATGGAGAAGGCGTGTTCTGTGAACTATAAAATTGTTCCAACCAAAGACTGAAGTGTATCTTACAAGTTTGGCATATATTCATTATCATATCTCTCAAGTAAGACACCAGGAAATTTGTTTAGACATGAAAGTACCTTGATGTTGTCCTGAAACTGGGGAGAAACATCTTTGTCAAAACTTTCAGAAATTTTGAAGTATATGACAAGGCTCAAGCCTTCTCCATCACCATCACCAACGAACATTGGAGCTGAATAAGTTGGCAACTGAATATTGACAATTAGTAATGGAGGAAATTTTCCATCTCCTTTTACAGAGGGAAGCACAAGGTGTTGTGCAATGTGATTTATCTTCTTAGGACACACAAATAAATCAACCCCAATAGGAATATAAGGAGACACACTTGGAGCAGGAGATTTTCTCTTGTCACTGCAAGATTAATCAAGGAAATGTATGGGTAATAAATTATCATTTACAAGATATATCGCTACACTTAAAAGGATTCCACTGAGGAGTGTACCTGAAATAACTGTCGCTACGTAGCTTAAAATTTGAGGGATCAATCTTTGACCAACTTCTTGCAGTTAACTTTTCTTCTGTGCAACAAGGAATTTGCAGCCCGGCCCTGGGACGATAAAGATACTTTTTTGATGCACCTACAAGCAGAGATGGATCCAGGATTTAAACCTAATTGGTTCACGATTCTCAATTCTACAAAGACATGTTTCAAAAACTTAGTTATTGTGTTCTTAGGTGAGATTACGACTAAAAGATATGACATTCTCAACAATAGGTTTGTTCTCCTATATTTTTACATTCTAGAATAATTATAAACATATACTTAAGTCTTACTTAACCTCAAAAGTTAGCTCATGAAGGGAGGATTGCTTAAGTTCATATAAGCAGACGATCAGTCCATTCCCAAACCAATGTGAGATTCCAACCCAGTCTAAATCCCCTTCACGCCTATGCCCAAGTAGAGTGTGAACAATATAGCATGGAGCCCAAACAGGGAAGAAACTGACCTGATACCATGTAATCGAATGGAAGAAGTAATATCTCTACTCATGAATAATTAAGGTACCTATACAATTACAAGGATTCTATAGAAGGGATTATATCAAAATTAATAAAAGGAAATATTATAGATTTACTCTTGTGATTTGGATACCATATTTTGTAACAACACGAAAATTAATTACAAAGTCATCATCATATCATGATCACAATAAGAATAAGATTACCAATTAGATTCATAAAGAATAAGGAGAACACAGGGATGTCATGAAAAAAAAATTGCATAGAATGATTTTTGCATATATCTTAATTTAAGATGAAAGAATAAAATCGAAATGGTAAGTGGCGAGGTACTTACAATATTTATCCTCTTCTTTGCCATCCACAGATGTTCTCTTTAGAGAAAGCCTTATTGTTGATTGCTTTACTTGAGAAACTTGGCCTGATTTCGATGCACTAATGATCTGTTCATTGAAACTCAAGGAAGTAACCAGCTTCGGTAGGACAGTCTTAAGCACATTCTCTTGAGTTTTTTCCAGCATACCAAGTTTATCCTCCTTAACACTATTAAAACTTCCATATGCACGATCCAAATATCTCTTCCTTTGGGCACCAAGGACTTCGTGCTTCCCAAGGGATGGAGCTTCATAGCCCTGACCACCTATAAGTGCAAGTCCTTTCGGACTATTAACTCCATATTTGAGCAAAAGCTTATCTGATCTACTGCCATCCATCTTGAGATATCTTTCGTGGTACTCCTTGTACTTAAGGTTGTTATCCATAAAGCATGATGAAGTTTCATATTGAAGCACTTGTCCAGTTCTTGGGAATAGATCTACAAAATTTAAAGAGTATAAATAAGCAAAGAGAAATTTGGACGTGGTGCCTATTATGTTGGAAGGGATCACTCTAGCAGCTAATTATCTAATAGAATATTGATGTCAAATGTCGGTAAAAACAACAGAAAAAAAGACGTTCATTACCTCCATAGACGCTACTGAAGTCATCATCTGAGTCAGAGTCAACATTGCTGCATGTATCAAACCAAGCTTCTTCTTGGCTAAGAACTGCAAGCATGTAAATTTTCTATTCACTTTCAAACTTTTAAAGCTACATTTCTTTCAATTATTCATTCTTTTTTTTGGAATAAAACAGTCAATATTAACATAATCTGCATCATAAGAGTAAAGATGACAGCAGAATATACTCTTTTGACATTCTTCTCTCAACAAAATAGAATCTGAAATATTCTTCATATAGGTTTATTTTTAGAATCACATGGACAATATCATTTTTGAGCAGGACCAAGACAGAATATTTGGAATGCAAATTCAATGATGCGATAGATGAAGCCGACGACGAAGTGAGGCTTGGCACACAGACTATTCCCAAGAGAGAAAGTTTCAAATATCTTGGGTCCGTCATCCAAGGTAGTGGGGACAGGGAATCTTAGTAACTCAGTTGCTTGGTGTAACACCCCGGAAACTAGTGAGTTGAACTAGTTTGTTGTAGAGTCTTGTAGTGGAGTTTTGGAGTGTCGTATGAGGGTTAGAATCTAAGATAAATGGCTCCCCTACTTAGAATGACATGTTTAGGGGTTAAACGTCTGGGTACGACTCCCCAAGGACCACCCAAGGGGTCCATGAGGAGGACCCCAACACTGCCCAAAAAGCTATCAAAACAGCTTGATCTACGACCCCAATTCACGCCCCTTAGATCAACCTACGGCCCCGTAGGTCATGGGCGTAGGTCAGGCCTGAGTTGGCCTGCAAAATATGAGTCTCTGACCCAAATCACAAGACCAAACCACGGCCCTTATACCCATCCATGGTCTGTGGATGGGGATTCGTAGATGCTGCCAGGTTTTGACATTTTAGTTTTAAGTTAGGTGTTTGGAGTTAAGTTAGTTATTTAATTAAGGGCTTAGGGGGTCGGTTTAGTAGTTAAATAACCACCTATAAATAGTTAATAGACCCCTAAGTCATTAAATCATTCATCTAAAGACCCCCAAATTACTCCCCAAGCAATCCTCTCTCTAGAAGAAGAAGAAGAAAGGAAGTTGGGGCAGCAGCTTAGGGAGATTTTCACCATTGATTCAAGCTTTTTTTGGAGCTTTGATTAAAGGTATGTTAATATTATTCATTTATGTGTTCTTCCACCCATAGAGCCCCTATAGAAATCCACCAATTGTGGATCAAAAACCCCATTCTAGCTAGGGTTGTTCTTACATTGTGGGTAGGGTTTGGGTGTTATTCCAATCTAGTGGATATCACCCAATTATGATTGATTTAGCTTTGTTTAATGATAAAATGATGATTTCATGTGGTTTCTATGGTGAACGCTAATCTAAATTAATGAATGTGATTATTGTGGGTTAATGTCATTAGAGGCAAAATTGAAGGTTCTAAAGTGATCTTCCTATTTCAATGTCTTGAATACTAATTGATCATAGTTAGGATCATCTAATCATGAATTGAACTAGACTTAATTTAATAGGAATGATCTTGACTTGTAAAGTTGGAATTGAACCTTTATGATCAAGTATGACTAGAATCACCTTCTAATGAACAATGTGATTGAATAGCTTGTAATTTAGACATGGATCATGATAGAATGAAGTTAAGCTTGAAATTAGGGCTTGTAGCCATCATTGTTAGGGCTTTGGGGGTAAAGTCAATATGATGTGATCTTGTGGTGTAATTCTCTTTCTCTTATACACTTAGACATGAATATGCTAGGAGATTCAAGTTCTCTCACATAGAAGGATTCTAGGTTGACCTACTAACCTAAAATGAATCAAAGCATGTTAGACTAGAATAGATTGAAGTTGTGATAAATGATCCCTTCATGTATAGCTTGGCTTAGTAGGATAAGACCAAGGTTGATAGCTTAGGATGAGGATCTATTCTCTCCTAAGGGATAGCTTGACTTAGCATTGTAGGATGCATGTCATGGTAGCATGAGTTAGTAGTAGTCATGGTAGCCTAGGATTGAGGATTTATACTCTCTTATAGGTAGCTTGAACTAGCATTGTTAGAATGCATTCATGGTAGCTTGACTTGGTTTTGCCAAGACCATTTCATGGTAGCTTTGGGATAGAGGACTTATACTCTCCTAAGGGTAGCTTGACTTGCATTGTAAGATGCATTTCAAGGATATCTTGAGTTAGGATTAGTCATGGTAGCTTAGGGTTGAGAATCACACTCTCCTATGGATAGCTTGCATTTTTCATCTAGTACACTTGTAAGGGTAGCATGACTTAGTTGATTTAGGACAATTTCATGGTAGCTAGGATAGGACACTTGTACCTTTCCTAGAGTAGCTTGGACTTGCATGTTAGTGTGTATTCCAAGGTAGTTAGCTTAGCTTAACCTAGTTATGTTAGTAAGATGATAGCATGGTCTAGCCTATTAGGGGGTTATTCCTTGGTAGCCTTGAATAGAGGTAAATAGAATAGAGGGATTAGTCCCCAACTAGTGAACCTTCGTGATAGTCTAAATGAGTACTTAGTGTGGGTAGTAGTATGGGATGCTATCCATACATTGCACAAGTATGTCTTAAGGCTAGATATGAAGGGTTCCCACACATAGTATGACTTAGCTTGGGTTGTTGCCATAGTTGCCTTCTAAGATATGATTGACTAAGGTGGTAGTTCCTTTGTCTATATGAAGTAAGCTTATAGTAAGACCAAAAGGAGGGTGAATATGACCAAGGTGATTTCAAGGCTATGCTTGGTGTGAAGGGTAGTATGGGATTCCTTACATGCATTGCACAAGTGTGTCTTGAGGTTCCTTAGAAGTATAGTGTCCTTACGGTAGAAAAACTTATGACTTAACCATGTACATAGACTATGATTAAGATGACTAAAAAGGGATACTTGGCTTGCGTGGTATTATGGGATGCTATTCTTGCTTTGCACTTGTATACTTTTGAGGTTACTTGAGAATGGTGCTATTATTGTAATGATGACTAAGAGTCAATTATGTTGATATAATTATGGCTTATCTCCTATGCTCATTAACTATGTCTTATGTTGACTTATGTTAATATGAAGCTTATGTTGGAGACCATGCTATGACTATGATGATTATGTTATGACTATGTTATTATCTCTTATGCTTATGTCTTATGTTGACTAACCATTTGAGATGCTCTTATGATGTTATGCTAGCTTTCATACTTGGTACATTTTGTATTAACGCATATTGCCTACATTCTAATCAAATGTAGAGTTTGGAGATTTTAGTTTCTTTGGAGGCTAGGTTTCAAGGATCTAGAAGAGTTGACGAATTGGTGAGTCCTCATAGCTTCGAGGACAAACCCATTATGTTCCTTTATGTCATTTCATTATGTTTTTAGACTTTGTATGGGCTGCGTCCCAAAGACTTTTATTCAAGAGTTAAATAGATGGTTTGAGACAAAGGTTCTAGTAAAGACTTCCGCTTGATTTTATGAAATAAGACATTGATTGTAAAAGTTTTAAATTTTCCCGTATTCTCTATTATCTTATGTTAAGAATGTGCTAAGGGCTTGTATGCGACACCTTCGGGGTCAAGTATGTCGTGTTATGACTAGGGGGTGCTCTCGGGTCGTGACACTTGGCTACCTGAACTTCCACCTTGTTGGTGAGGGTTCAATTCACTACATTGGAATCCCCTCCCCATTTCCCCTTCCCCTACCCCCATTTTTTTTTTTAAAAAAAGGTAGTGGGGACATCGATGATGATGTCACACATCGCTTTGGGGTGACATGGTTGAAATGGAGGCTTGCCTCTGGAGTCTTGTGTGATAAGAAGTACCACCTAAACTTAAATTTAAGTTCTACATATCGGTGGATTGACCATCCTTGGTGTATGGGGCAGAGTGTTGGACAGTCAAGAAATCTCAAGTTCTAAAGATACATGTTGCGGAGATGAGGATCCGGATGTATGGATATACTCGGAGTTACAAGATTAGGAATGAGGTTATTCGGGAGAATGAGGAAGTGACATCTATGGTGGGAAAGATGAGGGAAGCGAGATTAAGATGGTTTGAGCATGTGTAGAGGAGGTGTGTCAACGCCCCAGTGAGGAAGTGCAATAGGCTGGTTGTAGGGGGTATGCGGAGGGGTAGGGGTAGGCTGAAAAAGTATTGAAGAGATGTGATTAGATAGGACGTGGTGCATCTTCATATTACCGAGGACATGACTTTAGATAGAAATGAGTGAAGGTCGTGTATTAGGGTAGAAGGATTGTAGGGGTAGAGTGTTGTCTTGCAAAGGTTTAGTACCTGGTGTAGGATTAGTCCTTGCCCTATGTTGTTTATTGTATTTTGATTATCACACTATTTTGTTGTTGTTATTGTTTCTCTCCTGTGAACTTTATATTGTTTTTCTTATTAACCGTTATGCTTTTCTTATTTGGAATTGATGCACTTGAGGGTCTTTCGGAAACAACCTCTCTACCTCCACAAGGTAGTGGTAAGGTTTGCGTACGCTCTACCCTCCCCAGACCCACTTTGTGAGACTCTTTTCACTGGGTTTGCTATTGTTGTTGTATACCATCAAGGATGAGGGTTCACCACCAGTGCAAGCTAATTAATTAGTGGATGATTCCTCACAACACATAATATTCCATGACATGCTCATCTAGGCAAGTGTCAAGCCCAAAGCATGAAAATTGATATTAAGGATTCATATAATTTGAAGCATAATTATTATTGTTGTTGTTGTTGGAGTATACTCAGGTTTAGGGTGTGCTTGGTTGATCACTCTAGGAAACTAAGAAACCAACTTCTTTTCAAGAAAACATTTTCCTTGTTACCAAACACACTTAGTCTATCTCACTTATCTATACATATCCTTTTACATTCTTGATATCTTTTAATCAGGTATATTCCATCAGACGCAGGCTTTATACAATAGACAACGTTCAAAATAATGACATACCAGTTGCATCTGTTTGAGTATGATGCCACTGCAACTGAGTAAGATAGTATTTGGAATTGGAGACCTCAGATCTTCTAACAAACTCACTAACAGTAATTTGTGGTCCTACATCACTGTTTCTTCTCCTGGTTCCTTCTACAAGAGAGATCAAATTCTTTCCACGGAATTTTCTATGACGACGACGATGATGATGTCTCTTCTTTACTTTGATCGTATGGCCTGGAGTCGATACACAAGCACCCATTTTTCTGACTCAGTTTACAAATTTTGCTGCGAATTTGTTCTGTCCCATGCCAGATGCCAATTACAATTGTGGAACAGAAGAAATAAAGACACCTGGAAATTAAGCACAAATAAATAGAAATTACAGTCTAATTAGTATGTTATCTTAATCTAGAACTATAAATGTACCAAGCTTTCAAAACACGAATTTATACAAATTTCATACCTATAGTCACAACGGAGTAGTGATATAACGATACACTGGACTTGCTGGTCTAAAATCTTGAATCCACCACTGTCCAATAGAATTTTGTGAGTATATTAATCAATTCAAATTAAATGGAGGGATAATGAGTTCAAACTTTTACATTAATTAGAAGTAAATACAAAGACTTACCTTAAATGAGTACTAACATCTTGAACTAACTATACAGCTACAAAGACGATGTTGGGCCAGTCTCAAAAGAGAGAACATAGAAAAAGAAGGATAGTTCTTTAACTCTACATAAATTTTCCAAAATTGTATAACACACGCCAATAGGACCTGCGAAATTGTATTAACGTAAGTAAACTTGAATTAGTCTTGATTAAGCAATGTCCTATTTTTCAACAGCATATTGAAACTCATAAATATAGGATAGAAACAGATCATATTTAATGTTTAGTAGCAGTGGAAAACGACTAAAACTAAGAACTCTGATACCATGTTGAATTGTACGAACATTTCATCTAAAATTTAAACTTTTAAAGATGATACACCATTACTTATTAAATTATATCTTCAAGGTCGATGATAAAAGTAGAGAAGTTAGATTGCTCTTTGTTTTCCGACTTGAACTATGTACATGTAATGAAAATTTTATTAAAATAGTAGAATATATTTATCAAGTGAATACACAATTTTACAAAGGGAACACACTTGAATCACACGAAGGTAAAACCTTTAAACAATATAAATGTGTTTGCACATGAGAAAGAACAAAAAAAAATGGAGACAAAAGTTAAAATGTCAAAGCAGAGAAGCATGATCAAAGAGGGGACAAGATAAGTTGTTATTTCCTTCGCTTAAGAATGAATTCGTGAGTGATTGTGGATGAAATGCACACAAACTAGCAAAATCATGAAACAAACTTTATGTTAGAAAAGAAAAAAAAAATTGCAAATTTGTTAAGTACATAGTCAACACAAAATCAAATAACAATGTGGAGATCAGAACAACATTATGGCAACGAAATATGTCTCAACAAAGAAAAATCGGGGGAGGTGTATGCAAACATTATTGAGAGATGATAAAGATTTTTAAAGCTTTTTTCGCATTATTCTAGGCTCCCCTAATTCTCCGACAAGAAAAGAGAAGAAAAGAGGAAAAACAAATGCAGTAGAACTAAAAGTAGATATATTGAACAAGCCTCAAAAGCTATACTACATTATCCTTCAGTTGACTTGATTAATTAATATCTAATAAAGCGCAATAAACGTTTGAATACTTTAAGTGAATCTTTTAAAATACAAATTTTTCACCAAGGTGGTGGATGGAAGCAATTGTTGTGGAAACCTGATCTGAAATAAAGCACTTCGTCTATAAGCATTGAAGAAAAGATATAATATGAGCCCAATTGCTCTTCTCGAATGGTTTTACTATGATGGAACAGGGGAGTGGCAGCCAGAGAAAATGCAACACCATAGAGAGTTTATTTCACGGAGTAAGATACTGGAATCAACCACGACTACCATAAGTGGTTCATTTTCGTTCTTCTCTGGGAAGAGGGATCAACTAAAGGTGTAGCATGCTTCTCTCTTAGAGAGGCGGGCAACTTATAAAGTGGTCGCCTAAAAACTTAATATAATCACTTAACTGTTACAGAATACTTGCAACTACATGAATACATATCGGTAAACAATCTACCATACCATCTCATCTCAAAGATTAAACTGCGAGAGAGCACACTTTTATTCACTTAAAAATATTCTCAACATGTGCCCCCTCAGGCAGGGACTTGCTTTTTAGTGGCCAAGAATGATGAAATGGATGACACTTGAGAATCAATCCCAAGACACCATGTTGTAGTATGTGACTATCTCATTTAAAATATTAAGTTGTTAAAGAGAGCATATTTTTTTTACTTCATTATATTTTCAATACATTCGTTAGGAGTAGGATAAGAAAAACAGAATTATGATGCAAACCATTATATCAACACTCGGGGGCAGAACCAGCAATTATAACAAAGGGATTCAGAAAAATCCTAGAATGCCACATTTGAGAATTAAAGCAAATTTTGAGTCACCTTTAAATCATAACATTAGAAGTTAAGGGGGATTCAATTTATATATACATATGCCATATTTTTTGTTAGCTATCAACATAATATAATTTTTCAATGAAGGGAATTCAAAACAATTTATTTGGGAATAAATGGTAATTACCTTAACAAGTGAACAGGAATAATTGATGAAAGAAGCTTGGCTTGGTTTCTCCCTCTCTTTGGGAAAGAAGAAACAAAAACCAGAAAAGAGAGGGAGAGATCAGAGTTCCAAATCTTCTCTCTGTTTTTTTTTATACAAATCTATTTATATTTTGGATATTTCCCCCCTGTTTTATATCAAAAGAATTTTGATAGAGTGATTTTTTAACAAAGATAGAGAGAGAAATGAATGAGAAAATGTAGGGAAGAAGTAAAAAGGAACGTTCTTTTAGCTGCATGTGTGACTCTTTGCTTATTTCCTTTCCACTCCGTCCATTTTAATTTTTATCCTTGCATGCAACCCCTTATCCCCTTTCTATTATATTCACCAAACGCGGTCCATCCAAAATTTAAGGTCTATGTGTAAAAATATGTTATTTAAGCATAACTCAAATCTTGAAAGGTAGTTCATGAGGAAGGGGAGGATTGCCCTACTCAATATAAATATATTACTAACATATATATTTTTCAATCAATTTGAGACTTTAACCAACTCTAACACCATCTTTATGCCCAGGTCCAAATTGGAGTGTGGACCAAGAGCGCAAATAAAGATTGACCTGACTGTGGTACCTTGTAGAAATATGATATTAGGGTCTAACTTGACCCCAAAACTAGGGAAAAGGGTCCCTCCATTACTATTTTGTCAATTACTCTCCTCAATGGTGCAGTGGATGTAAGTCACATATACAAATGAATATGAGAGGTTAAGATCATCTCAAATGAATTTATCATTGATTTAACTTTTTAATGGCGTTGCATTACATAAAATTAAATATTAGAGAGTCACCTTGATTCAACTCAGCTCGATTGGAATCGACTTGACGCCCAGGTCTACTCGTTGCCAAAGGACCTAGAAGAAAGATTTTGATAGACTAAGAATCTGTTTGGATTGACTTAAAAAAATACTAGCTTTTAAGTCAAAATAATAAGTCAAACTTAAATGACTTTTAAGTAAAAAAAATTAAAAGTAGAGGGAAACCTACTTTGATTTTTAACTTGTTCTAAGTCATTTAAACCCTATTTAGGTTATTTTTAACCTTGCTAAAACACTTACAAAAGCTAAAAATAACTTTAAAATAGGTTTGATCAATTTTAAATTCAATTCAAAGCTCCTCCGTGGTTTACAATGACTTGTAATAATAACTTGGTGCACAACACTATAAAAACCAGGTTGAAATTCAATTCATTGGTCATTCTATATGAGCGCTTGCTTGACATTGGAAATTTTCATTAAAGGATTTAAGTGGAAGAATGTTTAATTAAAACAATTGCAGATGGGGCAAATTGACTTTATAGTCCATTACAAAACTCGTTTTAAATATACATCAAATCTTCCAAGAGATTTCTGTTTCTACACATAGGAAATAATAAATAAAGCACGAAATCCATCCAATTTTTTTTACTTCCATCCAAATTATAAAGAATTGTGTTGAGCCATTTCCTCCTCCAAGTAGAACAATTTCTTGACTATACTTCAATCCCCTTTTCTTTGCTTTAAATTTCAATTCCGACGATGATTTTGAGTCACCTAGTCAAGTACCCAAATATGTATTTCTTTCTTGCTACTGCTAGAGTTAACTCATTTAAAGAAGTTAATTCTCTAAGAACAAAATAAAACGGAAACAACAATAACATCCCACTCTGACATTGGATTGCATCAGCTGCTCAATGATCCATTCAGTACATTCTGACAACTGGGGGAAGTGACTACTCCACTAATTAGAGATGAAAAAGAAGTTCAAAGCTAGTGGAAAGAAAACGATCCAAGGGAAAACGAAATCAGGTTGCAGGTAAGACACCCTACATGGACTCCAGAGCCTGAAGAATATCAGCTTTCAAGTCTTCATAGTCTTCTACTCCAAAGCTGAATCGAACCAAGTTGTCCATGATCCCATACTTAGCTCTCTCTGACTCCTTAAGATCCCTGTTTTCAGAATGAAACACCATGTCATCCAAGTTGCTTTATACAACTCCTTCCTTATTTAAAATAGGACACCGCACAACAAAAATACATCTATAGCCTATGCCCTATAGGTAATACCAATTAGTTGGGATTAAACTTTAGATATGCTAGTTAAGGTCCAATGCAGTTGATGATAATGTCACTATAATTCATGGGTTAATTGGTCTTGCAGCCCTTACAAATTTGTTTTTACTCGTCTTTTTCAAAAAAAAAATCTTTATTCTTACATGTAAGAAATGGGAGAAAAACACTTCTATTCAAAAATTATGAAGGGTGATGTTCATCCATTTCCTCAAAAGAGAATATCAACATACCAGTAAGACATAATTGCTGGTTGGTCCACAATGCTCTCACAACCTCCAAACGATGGAGCAATATACGGAATTTTTAGAGCATCAACAAATTTTGCAGTAGTTAGCAGATCCCCATCAACCTAATTAATAACATAATTATCCATCAGTCATCATCCAAATTATAGGATCTAACAAGAACAGACTTGGAAATCTTTAATAGATTGTAAAATACAGACCTCAAAACTGACCACCCCACCAAAACCAGTCATTTGTCTCTTTGCAAGATGGTATTCTGGATGACTTGGCAAGCCTGGATAATAGACACACCTCACCTGCAACTCAATTTTCTTAGAAATGATAGCAGTTGCACATGGAACAAAAATCTTTGAAGCAAAGGAATACTAGCCTACTGAACTCAACTGAACAGTCAAAAGAAAAGCTAGAATGCAGTGGGTTAAAGGAAGCAAATTTGAGCCAAAAGAAGGAAGAATGAGTTCAAGGAAACACTTGCAAGACAAGATCCATTACCAACGCTGACTGGGTTTTCCCCTCTTTATTAGTCATTTATTTTTATTTTCCTCTGCTTTCTTTGTAATTATTTGTGTTTTTCGATGGAATGGAACTGTCCATCTTGGTTAACAAAAGAAGTAAACAAGTAAAATAGAATCAACCCATTCCTGCAAAAGAAATGCAGTTCTGTGATATTGAAA